CTTAGGGCTGTGTAACTTCCCTTAGATTCCATTTCTTTATGTACCACACTTGGTCTGGATTTCCATATCATAAAATGGGGATGGAAATACTCATCCCAGAAAGTTGTTGAGGATTTGATTACTTAATTTGTGAAAGCACTTAGTACAGTGTCTGGGATGTGGTTAGTACACAATAAGTAACAGTTCTGTTTTGCTGTCCTTCCTTTGTAATAATGCTCAAGTAGTTGCAATAGATTGTGGTAAACACATCCTGAATTTACTCTTCTATCTCAGCCACCTCAACTTCAGTATTTTCACAAAAGTGATTTCTAAATCTGTCATCTTAGTACTGACCTCTGTATTGGACCTTTAACTGCTTCAAACTGAACTAATTTAGCCTGCTTCCCCACAACCCCAACCCTACCCCCTACCTCGTAAGCTTTTCCTTCTGACACACTACTGTTTCCTATTAAATAGTCCCACCTGGGGCACCTGGTTAAGGTGCTTAATCAGTTAAGCATCTGATTGTTGATTTCTGCTCAGATCATGATCTCACGGTTCGTGAGATCCCCTCTTCCCCCCACCCCATGTGCCCCCTCTTTCTCTCTCTCTCTCTCTCTCTCTTCTCTCAAAAAAAAAAAAAAAGTCCCAACTTTTCCAAGTTCTAACTGTCTCTGGTCAGAATGGAGGGAATACCAAGAGTCATTGTTTAGTAAAGACATGCATATTACATCATGCCTGCGGGTTTCTAGTCGGTTGTTGGCCCAACTTCGCTCAGGTCATGATCTCAATTATCGCGAAGCGTTGACAGCTCAGAGCCTGGAGCCTGCTTCAGATTCTGTGTCTCCCTCTCTCTCGGCCCCTCCCCTGCTTGTTCGTTCTGTCTCTGGCTGTCTCTCAAAAATAAGCAAACATTAAAAAAATTTTTTAAAAAGATGCATCAATTTTCTGCAGATGTTTCTGGGTTTTTTTTTTTTTTAAGTATGTATTAGCACTCTTGGAATACAAAGATAAGACATAGTGTCTGCCTTTAAGCAGCTGACACTCTAGTCAGAAGGACAGACAAGTATATTGATACATTTATGCTAAGTGCTATGTGATTGTGGAGTGTACTATGGGAGCAACTCTAATTTCAACTGGGCATCTAGGGAGGTAAAATTTGAGTTTCAGAGTTAACTAAGAGAAAAGCCTAAGGACATTCTGGACAGAAGGAACAGCAGATGTGAAGACACAGAAGTAAATAGCATGATGCTTTTAGGGAATAGTACCAATAATAGCTAACATGTATCGCGTATGTACTGGTGTGCACTGGTGTCTAAACCTGTTAAATGTTCAGCATAGCTAGAATGAAGGGTCAAAGGTACAAGGCAGTGGAGGGTTTGGTAGTAAGTAAGCCTAGACGATTGAGGCCTAAAATGCAGATCTCTAGAGTCCTGGTGCAATATTTTATCATACAAAATTCTTTTTGAAATGTATAATATGGTGTATTGGTTGAAATGAATAGGCCATTTCTTCCAGGCCTCTGACTCTAAAACCTGGACTCTTTTAACTGTATTTGTTGAAGTATATAGTTAAGCATTTTGTAAACTTCCTTAG